TTCTCCACTACAAGTAGGTCTTTCTTATAGGCTCACTGTATTTGGCTGGTTTAATTACTTCTAAAAGTATTTTCTCCGTGTTTGTTTTAGAGCTAGTGATCTCAAAAAAGATGACAAGTGTTTTCATGTATTTGCTTTCCTGATTGGCCATTTTATTTCCTTAAGAATAGCAGAGCAAGGAACAACCTTCTACTAATCTAACCTGACTGATTTTAAATGCCTACCAAATTCAATGGCATTTCATAACTCCACATCTTTGAATTAATTTCTTGACTTTTCTCTTGAAGGTAGCTTGTTTCTACTAATATGAGGGCACCCAGGGGCGTAGTTAGAGACATGCTTCTGGGTCACCTCAGTGGTGTGATAAGCTGATAAATGTGACTGAAATTTATAGTCATCCTAGAAGAAAATAGAGAAGTAGAAAGCCCAGTTTCATTGAGCTGTCGTTTCAGAGGCTGAAACATGACGAATTATAGTGATGAGAAAGCCGTAGTTACTCCCTTTCTGCTGTGTGGATTTTAAAATATTTGGAAATGCTCCGGTTGTCCTCACAGCACTGGATTACCTCTTCTTTATAGGTTGTATAGTATTACTTTGAAATGCTTACCTGTGTTCAGTACACGCAATGGAGTTTATCAGTTAATAGAATAGTAGGAAAAATGCAAAAAATAAGCCTAATCAGAATAAGACACTGTTATAGAGACAGGTCACAAGCGAAGGTTTTAGTTAACTGTGTTAACCTTATCACTTGGCAGTTGGCTAATCTCCTGAACAGTGCCTTCCAGGCAGTGGTTTTTATTCTTTATATTACAAGAATGCTAATAGGTTCTCATAAAAATCAAGGCTTATTTTACTTCACATTACACAGGTATGGTTAAAAGATGAGCCAGTCCTCTGAAGAGCCCAAACGGTGTCCATATATTGATTATTTTATCTCTGTTATCTTTCACAGGTTCATTCTGAGCCTCATATAGTATGCATAAAGCTCTTCGATGCAGAATTTTGTTATTAACTGTGAAGAACTTCATTATTATCCTTATCTATTCTTAAGATGGTATCAGGTCAGAATTTGCACAAATGTTTAGTTTCTGCATAAGAAAGCTTTTATTGTGTCAAAGATAATTGTTTTTTATATTTGTTTCCCACATAGTATTTTATAGCATAGAAGTTACAACATTAGAAATAGGGAAGTGAAGCAGTCCATTAAAAGTGGTACTTGCTCCCTTTATTGCTGTTGTCTATGTTTAGAAACATTAATTACCAAATATAGTTAAATACAATGTTTTTAATTTTTAAATGATAGATAATATTTATTACAATATTAAAATTTAGCTGGTTGCCTCTAATATCTGAAACATGGGAGGTGGGCAGAGCATAGCATGCCACAGTATCCATATTAGGGACATGAAGATCTTTATGAGAAATTGTAGTGAAAGATCTCAGAAATGTGCTGCTTATTTGGTATTTAAGCTGCAGACATTAAAAACGTCGTTGCTGACACAGAAGTCAATACAGAAGAACACTTCAAAGATCCACAAGGATGCACAGGAAACCAAATGAGATTCATTGTGGGGGATAATAACCAAATATAAAATATTTAATAGGAACTACTTTGGAAAGCAGTAATGCTGAAAGGGACCTTAAGGGCCAGTAAATGAGATAAATGGAGCCAACAAGTCAAACGCTACTCTGGGCTGCCTGTGTACATGCATCTTGTCAAGGATCTATGAAATATAGCAGATGTCGCTAAGACTACTCTGACAAGTCGGTTCTGGGCATTTCAACACCAGGGACATATAAAAATTGAAGAGACTCTCAGAGGAGTGCAAAATGCAATGATGTCTTTGAGATTTGTTATTCAAGGAAAGATTTTTTTTTAAAGGTCTGAATCCATAGAGAATGTCTGAGTTGTCACTTAGGTAACCGAAACAAGTATGGGGGACAGGAAGGGAAGAACTTTGAAGGTATATAGCATCACAGATATTTCACTAAGAATACAGTGCAGAATATATAGCAGAATATATCTGCTAGCGTAGACCCAGCAATGTTGGTTCAGTAGCTGTAATTGGCAGTCTGAGAAATTTAAATATGAAATCAAAGATGGTTTTAAAATAGTGTAGTCATTCAACACGGGAATAATTTACTGAGGGACAGTGAGTCCTTAGTACTTGAAGCCCTTAGGGTCTGAATATTTTTCAAAACATGCTTGAGGTGAACCTTGCATTACGAGGGTTAATGTGAGGGTTCCTGGTTGAAACTGTAGTGCTGAGTGTGAAGGTGATCAGATGGATGGGTGCGTTGACTTTTTCTTTGCTTCATAATCTGTAAAGCTATTATGTTTTTACTGACTATTAAATTTTTCAAACATGTCTGTTTCAGGGTAGTATGAAGCAATAAATGAAGTGGTAGAGGCTTTGTGGCTGCAATTGTTTAAAACCAGCCAACACAATAGAGTATATACTATAGAGGACATGACAGGCATGTGATTCATTGATTGCAGTTCTTCATCAGTTTGTAGTTGAAGGAAATAACCTAATAGATCTTTCCATCTCCGACTTGTTTGATATTGTCTATAGTTCTAGGAGCTGCCCTAAACATTTGGCAACTGGCCCAAGCCCAAAAATTAACACTAAGAAATTAATTTTCTATAAGCTAATAAGGACAAAGGCCATTCAATCTGTTGTTTATACAGAGAGCTTATTGAATCTGAAGACTATACATCTGGGAATGAGCTGGTAGAGTCCATTTGTAAAATAATAATGCCAGCACATCAGAGAAGTACTTGTGCCATAATCAATCATTAAATAACGAGGAGTTCAGGTAGAATGCAGGTCAAGATATTTATCTATCATAACCCAAATAGACAAATGTTTATTAAAGGTTTAAGCAAAGAAATGAAAGAAATACACATCTAATCAAACTGTGCCAAGGTGAAACTGGAACCTTCCCTTCCTTGTCCTACTGCATCGCTGCCCTCCCCTGAGGAGGTGTTAATCGTGGCTTCCTGTTCTCCTGTATAGTTTGCACTTCACTTTCCAGGCATGGCAGGGTCTGTTTCTTATGAAAGTTTTTCATCTATTCCAGTGAGGTGGTTTCTCTGCCTCAGTTGGAGTTTGTAGTCTTATGATGGGTCCAGGCAGATTTAATTTTTTGGTTCCCAGAACTCTTGATTAAGGTTGGACACTGCCAATTAATCCACTTTGCATTTTGAGTGGCTGATCCCCAAAGTCTCTGTCAGTGCAGTGTGTCTCACCTGTGATTACTTTTCATGTCATCTGTCAGAAACAGGCTTTGCCAAATACTAGCTTTGGAAAATTTTGAACTGGGGATTTTGTAAATCTCTTGAGCATGTCTGTGTGTCTTGCCAAACGCTTGATACAGATAATGAAAATCTTCTGTTATTGTTTCTGTCTTTGTTTCAGAATTTTATCATTGACCTCATGTAAAGAAAAACATTAAATCCTTTCATATTTAAATTAACTAGCTTAAAGCTAAAATCCAAGTCAGTCATTCTGTAGTTTTATTATAAATTGGGAACTTGTCAAATACTATTCTGTAATTTGACCTGCTGACTCAGAAATTTACAGTCTACTATGCTTTCACTAGCTTTTTATCTCAAGTTAGTTACCTAGTGGCAAAAACACCTTTTTTTTAACAAGGAAGACATAGTGGGAGTGGCTGCTAATTTGCTTTTATGAATGTAATGATCTAAATACAGTCTGATTAACTCACCTGTGGTTCTCCGCTGCATACGGCTGAATACTTTCTGTGCATGAGATGAGTCCTCTTCTCTCTGTTTTTCAGGTATGTTATAGGTGTGAAGCACATCACCTCGGCTGTTAACTACTTTGTAACAAAGTATGGTGTCATAGTAACTTCTTTCCCCTCTAAGTCGTGTATCTGCAAAGACTGTATGCAGGATGTGTCTTTTCGTTACTGCGTGGGACTGATGACACTCTCTTTTAGCAGTCAATCCTTTGCTTATCCTTAACTTAAAATTAACGTGAAGAGATAGTTCTGCTTGTCTAAACCTTACAGACTGTTTCTTTAGATGAGAACTAACAGTGATTTTCTTATCTGTGGACTGGTGTGTGACTAGTTTGAAGCCAGTGGAAAAAATTAAATTGCTTGAAATAACTGTTATAAATCAGGTGCTGTTGTTGTTCATTAAGAATCAGAGAAATTGGGCTTAAAAGTGAATATAAAACAGTATATTAGCTTTACTGCAATAGATCAGTGTTTTTAAATAAGTTTACAAAAGCATGTGGAGTGTGTAACAGGCTACCTTCTATTTTATTATCTATGGCACCTGTGTTGCTGTTCTTTTGTGACAGCTGCATGAAGTGAGGCAGAGGAATGTTCTAATGGCATTTTATTATCCTATACTGGAGCGTTACACTTCTTGACTGCCCTATCAACATTAATTAAGGCATGTGAAACAATGACCCTTGGCCTAGAATTTTTTTAATGAGGTCCAGAATTCAAGTTATATGTCAGTCTGGTTTTGTTTTGAAAGTGCAACAAGCGAATGTGACTGCACTGAGCTCCGACCAGCAGTGTATTCTGTAAGTTGGCAAGTACTAGGGGTCTGAGCAGCTCAGTCCAGCTCAGCACTGGTGGCGAAGCCCAGTCACAATTTGTTTTGTTTATAAAAGTAGCAGTACTTTTATTTGGCTACTGACTGTTTCCTTGGGTGAAAACATTTGTTTGAACTGGGATTTTTACCTGAGGAAGGGCTGCATGGTTTGACGTACATTGAGCAAATTGCCAAAATAGGAACAGACGTGATCTTACGCTCTTCTAGAAGTTACTTCTAAAATGCAAGCACTTTGCTAGCATCATCATGCTTAGTTCTGCTACCTCATTATGAATTAGCTTATAAGTGCTAATAATAGCTCATGGCAAAGGCACTCATTATGTGTAAATACACATCACTAAATTAATTTAATTATTGCTATCACTTGCATGCTAACCAATCCATACATTTTATGAATGAGAAGGTTTCAGCCCTGCTGTATAATGTCATTTATAAGGGAGCAGAATTTGCTTTGTCAGGTTAAAGCAAATACTGAAATCTCTACCTTTATACTTCATATAGGCAAAGATCACAGAGAACTGAGCAGGTGAATGAAGTAAGAGTGTGTGTGTGTTACTGTACAAATTATTATGCCATGAAATTATGCAAAATATGTTCCCAAAGAAGTCAGAATAATGATCTTCTGTAGTTCTGTATAGACATGTGTAAAGGGGAACAGAGGAAACTCATGTTCCTGTATTCATCAATTATAATAAACGTTTGCTGGTAAATTAAAACCTTCGAGCAAAAAGAATTTTACGATGTGTCACCACCTTTGTTAAACTTGAATCTTTACAGGAGTACTGAATATTCCTATCTGCTTACAGGTACATTTTCAGTGTTGCTTACTTTTTCATGTGAACAATGCTGCTTTTCTGTGTTTATGCTCTTTCTCTTATGATAATGATCATTATTGTAAGAATATCAAATCTAGTTGTCAAAAAATTTCTAGTGTCAGAATTAAAGGTGTGTACGCATATGCTTTATTTTACAGTCACTACTTCCATTTTCTGCTTGTGCCCTCTCTCTCAGGACCCTCTCTCGTATTGAGTGCGCAGAATAGACTGTGCCAACATGATGACAAGCTATTCAATATTTTAGTTTATTTTAATTGTTCAGTGTATAGCCTTAAGCCTTATTTATTACCACTATTCAAACCTTGTTCTTACAGCAATATTAATTTCCTGTTGGCAGTTCTGTGGTGCTCATCACTACGGTATTCAAATACTTCACATACGCTGATGTATTTCTCTTTGCAATAACCCTGGGAAACGATGGGGGTATTACCTCCATTTTATGGATGGTGAATTCACGTACGTACAAGTTAAGTGAAAAATACATGTTAAACTTGGGCATCTAATTTGAACTGATCAACACCTGACTTTTTTCAGAATATTTCAAACATTTGTGCGATATAATACTAGGAATAGCTCTCACTGACTGAAGTTACAGCCCTGTAGGTTTATAAAAAGGCAAAAAATAAGAAGTGAGATTATCATGTGGCATCAGTTGGCTGTGAGCAGTTTCTAACATCTAAAAGTTTCTAACATTTCTAACATCTAGCTGAAGAACTTTTGATAGCGGTAGCAAGCTATCATCTTCTTTTTGAAACGAACACTGAAAGGAGAAGAAATCCATGTATTGCTGTTGGGTTTCACAAATGTTAACTGACAGCTTCCCCCCAACCCTTTCCTTGAAGTTGACATCTTTCCCTGCTCTAGTCCCAGTTGCTTTCTTTCCAAACCTCAGCTTTGCCCAAGAGCTTTCCTCCTACTTAATTTCTTCTTTCTGAGCTTTCCATTCAAATTCTAGTCATCGTACCATAGCAGTCTTCAAGAGATCTGATCTCACTGTTCCTGCTCAAATTGTTCTCGTGTGCTCCCCACTTCTCTCCTTTTGCATTTTAGTCTGTTTTAATGATTCACCCTCGCTTCTTGTTTCTGATACCTTCATCTGATTTCTGTCCAGATGATTTAAGCTGATCCTCTCTCTTTTGTAGCAGTTTAAATCAGCCATCTGTCTTCTCCACTCTGCTAAAGTGCCATTAAGCAGAGGTCTTTAGGAGTATAGAAGGAGGAAACCTCTGGCTGGAAGACTCATTCTCTAGCGCTGTCCTTGCTGGATGAGTACATGTAGCAGCGAGAGCAGAGACCTGACCGCTGTAGCCCTGGAGTCTTCTCAGCCTCTTTACAGTGTGGTGCCAGCACTTTCTGGTCGCCCAGAGGCCTCTGAGGACTTGCGTGCGTTCGGTTTGGATGCAAGACTGGCATAAAGGCTAATGCTCTGACAATTTGCAAATCTCTTGTTCCAGCAACAGATAGGGGCCCTGAAGCGTTTTAGAGGAAAAGTCTCCAGCAACATATGTAAAACACATTGTCCCTAACATAATCCTCAGAGATGACTGGGTGAATCTGAATAACCCTCCCCGCTTCCCTGAACACCCTGAGGTAGAGACCTGGTATGAGAGTTTCATTCCAAATGGTTAAAATTTCAGAAAAAACAACCAAATGTCATTTTACAATAAGGAATGTTTTAAGAAGATTAGATGAATAGCCTAAGTGATATATCAGCTTCCTACAACTTTTCCCTGAAAATAATGCTTTCAAAAATAATCTACTTTTTGAAGTTTTGTAACATTCAATTTGTGATCTGAGCCCTACCCTCCTCCGCCAGTAACTAATTTATTCTGCAACCCTTTTCCCAAAAAATTTCTAGCATAATCCCTGTTACATGGACCTGATTAGAATGACATTTCTGATTTGATCAAAATGATGAATTCAAGTCCTGTGAGGTGTACACAGCTATACACACGCATGCATATTTCAGTTTGTGAGTTTAGCCATGTCTCATCATGTAGTCCAAAGATAGCTATCTATCTCTACCCAATAATAGAGAATTGAGTTTTACAAAGCTTTTATAGCTTGCCCTGCTAAAAACATTTGTTCAAAGACAGTCAGTTAATATTCTAAGTGAAGTGTAATGAAAGCTAGGAAGGAAGACCCTGGATTGTTTTCCATATGTTTTATTTTTTTGTCCTGCGGATGGACAGATATAAATCTTCAGTGTATATCAAATTTAAAACTGTATGTTAACAGATGTAAACTTCATAAGTTTTTAAAGGATATTAACTTCTGTTTCAGTGTGTACTTAGAGTTGCCCGTTATAAAATTTAAACTCCTTTATGATCTACTTCTTTTGTAAGTTTTTTAGGCTTTCTTAAAATAGCATTGTCATTCCCACATCACCATATGTACACAATTGCCATACTACCTTGGCATTTGTCTGGGAAGCTAGCAAGCTTCGCTTTCTATTCCCATTCTGCTTGCTTCAGCAAAGGTGCTATGACTGCTTGTGTGTTTAAGGACCCCAGATGCTCAGCTCCGGGATGAGTGTCTCCAGGAGCAACTGGACAGCTGTTGTCCTTCCTAGGATTTACAGGTAGATTTTTCCCTCTGGGAGTGGTGCAAGTTTGGCTGGTTGGCACTTTGTCCTGCTTGTCTGGTTTGGATTTGAAGGGATATGTTTTCAGGGTGTGCTAATTCTGGAGATTAAGTCCTTGACATAGCACTTGGAGGGTACTACATTCAGAGGCTGGTTTAGGCTTGCTTTGTAAATCCGTGCATTGGTTAATGTAATTTCGGCATGTGGTACATACCAATTGATCGACAGTGTTAAAAATATACGTGTGCATGCGACTCAGTAAAAGGTGTGATGTGTAGCCTGAGGGCTTTTTAATTTACAGGTAATGTGATGGTGGTTTCTCTGTTTTCAGCTGTGTAGTGATTATCATGTGCTATAATTTCAGTTTTACAAAATAGCCAGTGAACAGTCATATTACAATCTATTACATTAGTGTCATACTCGCAATATTCCACTAGCCTGAACAAATTCACCCAACAGTCATTTTAATTGTATACCAAATAATTCACCTGCTCTGATAGAGTGTTATGACAAATCCTGCCCAGTATCTCCTTGTTTCTGAATCGGACATTATCCAAAGTTTACTGAGGAGTTCTGTTTTGTTAATGCATTTGGATGACACACATAATCTAACCAGGGAGTATGAATCATTCTTTTGGATTGCCCTCATTTGTTCAAAACATATTTGATGGTTTGAGAAACACAGTATTCTAAAGAACCTGTCTTAGCATTTGTGGAAAAAAAAAGAAAAAAAAAGTCCATTCCTGGTAGAATCAACTTTATTTGTGATACATGGTATCACTGAGAAGAGTGATATCATATAAAAGAATACAACAGTCTGACTTTTAATTTCTATTACTCAGACATCTAAACTTACCTGTAGTTTTGTTGCAGCCTGTCTCACCCTGATTCCATTCTGAAATTGTGATTCAGACAAATATGTTTTTCGATGCAGCATCATACTTAAGTTGCTATGCTATGCACTAACCCATTTTTATCTGCATTGATGTCCTTGGAAAGGATGCATTTAATGAATATAAATGTAATTATTCCCAAGAGTACAAGGATTTTTTTTTTATACTGCTGGCTGTCCTTCCTATAGAAAGCACTATTTTTGCTAATAATTTCTTTAAAGTTAATACTTCCCATTAGCTTGAATTATTTATGAAATTAAGCGTGTGCTACCACTTAGTGACCAGACAAATGGAGAAAATGTCTTTGATCTTCAGTTTTATTAGTTGAGTTATGGTCTTAGAAAGTGAAAATCCCACATTCTCTGTGTTGTGTGGTTACTAAAAGCTACAAACTGATACTATAATGAACAAATTATTTTGCTCCTGCAGATTTTAGCATACTTCTAAAAGGCCTAGCTAGGGTTCACCTCAACTATTCCACAGTTACTTGGCAGACAGCCATGGTCCCAGTGGGATAATAGGAGACCCATCACCACATTTCCTCCTTTGAAAAGCAACACTACGGAGGAATTTGTTCTCCTGTTCGTTTTTTCTCTCCTCCATCTCCATGCTCTGAGGAAGGAAGTAGCTTCTGTTTGTATTTCTGTCTTGGGCCTTCCATCAACCCTAAAGCTACTTCCTTCCTCTCCTGCACACTTTGCTTAAGATAAGAAAAGCTCTTCTATTTCACACCTGTGTTTTATTTGTCTGTGTTTTTAAACTTTGTTTCCTGACACTTTTCCTCAAGGGGAATGTAGTTTCTGAACACACACCAAAGTGGGTTCAGACATCTTTATGTTCTTCTAGAATATGGAACTCAAACTTACCAGCTGTAATGCTTTCCTTCCATCCAACCTGCTTTGCAGCTTTCTGAGTTACCAGTTTTGTGGTAGCCCTTAAATCTTTTTAGTTTTTACTTTGTCTTCTGTTTTCCAGACTGCTGAAATATTTTATAAAAGATGTGTTGTAAGAAGTATTCAATATACTGTTCTTATGGAACTCCAGGGTCTTCAGATCACTTTGAGGTATTCCTAGGGGTCGTGCATGATGTATTAATAATACCAG